TGAACTAATACACACATACACATATTGATTGGGGCATTAAAAAAAAAACACTTTTTGCTGTCTAAAAAATTAAAAGCAAAATATGATTTAGTCCATATCACGTATACTTAACTAACACATTCTCTGGGATATTCGAAAATTAACATTTTGTAATCTATAAACTTTAAGACACGATATAATTTATTCATCACGTCACATATCTCTATCGTGTGGCAACACTGAGTAGATGGAACCATCTTTTGCAATCTCCAAATCAAAAAATCAAGTTGAAAGCAAATATGAAAAGATTGTTGAATGTCCAAACGGAACAGTTCCTATATTGAGGAACACAAAAGAGTATGTCACAAATGCTCGACATTTCATGGAAAAACATTTCAATCCTTTCACAGTTGAAAGTCACGGGACACATGTAAGCATCCGTTTGTATTCTACTTATGTTATATGATAATGAATGCAAATATTAATCTTATAAACATTTGAAATTTTAAGATTGCAGGAGTTAGATTACAAGATCGAGTTCCTTATCGCGGTATAGCGGCATTTATAAGTGTGCATGACTTAAACATTAGTAGGGACCAAGCTTCATTTGGTCGCATATATGTAGGCAGTGTAGTTAACAACAAAGTTAATTCTATTCAAACCGGTTGGATGGTAAATATAATACTAATGATATTTTTCACTTTTAATTCAATTATTTTTATTCCATAAAACATTGTTAAGAATAAAACGCTTTAATTCCCCTTAATTTGATTCATAGGTAAATCCAAGTTTATTTGGTGACAGCCGCACATGGAGTTATGGATTTATGAAGGTACCTCTTTTATTAATACATTCACTTTTTACAACTTTTTCAAATCAAACGAAATTACATAATACAATCTAACGCCATCTTAATTGTGTTATAACATTATATGTTTTAAATCGAAGCAATAATAGACTAGTATGTTTCGTTGATAAAAAAAAAAACACTAGTATGTTTCTTTAACTACTTTTTTTTTGTTGTGGTACATTTTTATTTTTTTTTGGGAGAAAATTGTGTAGTACATATTTCACTTACATGTACGTTGAAAATTGTACATGACTACATATCCTTTGAAAC